GTGTTGCCACTGGATGTCAGCAATCCTTTGGAGACAGCGATTTTCGAACACAGAGAGTCGTCTAACATCCTCAACTCGGAGAGGCCAGGTTTTACAAGCGTAGAGTAGAACTGCTCTCACCGACGCCTTGTAGATCCGACCTTTTACAGCCAGACTAACATCACGAAGGCGCAAAGATTGTTTAGATTGGCATAAGCCATTCTGGCTTTCACTATACATGCATTTATCTCATCACTCACGCCACCACCATCACATATGCAGCTACCTAGATGCACGAACTGAACTACAGCTATACAACATTCTTATTAATACTTTGTTAATTGATTCTGTTGCTGATATTCAGAAAGGAATATCAGTTAGATTTTTTGTTGACACATAATAATTTCAGCAATTATATGGGAAAGAACAAACCAACTTCTAGCTGAAGAGGAAATTAGGAAAAGATGATGGAAATAGATAGTATATACATTACGCAAATCATCAAACTGCATCATGAGACAAGCGCTAACTTGGAATCCTGAAGGGAAGCGGAAAAGTGGAAGGCCAAAGAACACATTACGTCGGGAAATAAAAGCCTCAATGAAAAGGATGAATTACATTTGGAAAGAGCTAGAAATCATTGCCCACGACAGGGTTGGATGGAGAATGCTGGTGAGCTGCCTATGCTCCTTCACGAGGAGTAACAGGCGTAAGTAAGTAAGTAAGCAATTAGTTGTATTACAATTTATCTTGAATGGATGATATTCAGGTGACATTGAAATCCAGTAATCATATTTCATTTTATTTACGGCTCGTTACCTGAGAAGTATCTTTCGCCCAATATTGATAATCAAGTGTTATTAAAAACGCCAGATTTTTTATCTACTTAACTACTAAGTACAGATGTTCAGAAGTTATGATCTATATATCTATGACTTTGAGTATTGATGTTTAGGACTGCAATCGATCAGTCAATTGTTGGTATATGTGCATCCTGTGCCTTAGATCACAAGTTTTATAAGCAAAGATGGCTAATAGTGGGATCAAGGAGGCGCGTCTCATCCTATTTGTTACTGGACATCTGGATGTACCTGCATCTCGGAGTTAATGTGACTCGAACCCAGTATTGTTCCCTTCAAATGCCATCGGATTATCCACTCAGCTACTGAGTTCTAATAGCTACTTGTTTGTGCAATGGGGTGAAGCTTTAAATTCACTTGTCTCTTCATATATTTAACGATCAATATGATCATGACCGATTCCAAAGTTTTCGTAGCATACGAAACAAAATCAAAATATAGACACAAGAATGCATACAGTTTCTATGTAAGGTAAAAAGACCTATTTTTTTCCAACGACTCTTTACTACTGATACACAATGATCAAATTGATCTATTATCTTGACAGAAAATGAGATCTTAGTTCAGATCAATTACAGATCAAACCAACATCATCAAGAATGAATACAAAAGTATGTTCTTAGATTCATGCACCAAAACTGTGTCATACTTTTTATAGTTACTGCAAACACTGGGCTCGAACTCATATAGGGTTGTTTCAATTACTACCATTTAAAAAGTTTTAACCCAAGATAAACATTCTGTTTGATCCGCAATTAGATATATAATGTAACAACTAAAGTCTTTCTTCTGGTTATCGACTGGATTATGAAAGCTCCGACATATGAGGAAAAGAGCGGAATACAGTGGGTAGCCCGAAATCAATTAGAAGATTTGGACTCCTCAGATAACATGATCTCATATACACACCAACAAATGTACATGAAGGCAACTAATGTAAGAGAAGCCTCTGCATCGTTAAGCCTCAACATACATAAGGGAAAAAGCAACATCCTCAAATACAACACGTAGAACACCAATTGAATCACACTCGATGGAGAAACTGTGGGAGAGTTGAAATGTTTCACGTTTCTGGGCATTATTATCGATGAACAAGGAGGATCTGATACAAACGTAAAGATGAGGATTAGCAAATCAAAGACAGCATTCCTACAACTCAAGGACATATCTAACTCAATACAAATGTCTGAGAGATAACATCAAATTTAGAATCTTTAATACAAAGGTCAACACAGTTCTACTGTACAGAGCTGAAATGTGGTGAACCGCTATCATCGAAAATGTACAAATATTTATAAACAGTTGTTTACACAAGACATCCAATATCCGTTGGTTGGAAACCATCAGCAAGAATCTACTGTGGAAGAGATTAAAACAGCTTCCAGCAGAAGAAGACATTAAAAGAAAACGTCGGGAATTGATGGGAAATACATTGAACAAATCACGAAACTGAATCACAAAGCAAGCGTGTTAACATTGAATCGTGATGGGAAACTAAAAAGAGGAAGTTCAAATAACACACTACGTCAGGAATTGGAAGCAGACATGAAAAGTATGAATACTAACTGGAAATAATTGGAAAGGATTGTCGAGGATAGGGTTAGATGACAACTGCTGGTGTGCAGTCTCTATGCTTTTCCCTGAGTGGTAACAGACGTAAGTAAGTACGTAAATGTAAATCATAAATTCTAACCGTTTCATCATTGATTATGTATCTGATTGACAACTATTCGCACATAAAAAATTTACTAATTAACTATTACACAATGAACATTTATATTCTACTTGCCTACACAAGATACTCAACATTCGTTGATCAAATACCATCAGACCAACAGACTACTGTAGAAGAGATTTAAAAAGTTCCTAGATGAAGAAGAAATTAGTAAAAGACGTTGAATATTAATGAGACATATATTATGGAAATCAGCAAACTACATCATGAGAAAAGCACTAAATTGGAATAATGAAGAGGAACATAAAGGTAAAAGACGAAATAACACACTACGTCAGGAATTTTAAGCAAACACCAAAAGGATGAATAAGAAGTAGAATCAACTGGAAAAAGATTGCCAAAGATAAGGTTAGATGGCAACCGTTGGTGGGTAGTCTATACTCTTTCACGAGGATTAAAATATAAATTCCAACCAAATCAACATATAACTTATACTAATCAATTATCATCCAACTACGTCACATGGCAAACCTTCACTTAGAATCCTCAATGCAAATTGAGAAGAGATAGATCAAACAACATATGACACCGACAAATAAAGTTAGATATTAGAAAAATGAACAAAAATATGATAAAACTGGAAAGGAAAGCTTAAGACAAATTAGGTTGAAGAATAATGGTCAATGGCCTATACTCTTCTATTGAGAGTAATAGGATTAAGTCAGTTATCAACTATTATACAATAAACATTCAAGTTCTATTTGCATACACAAGATACTCAATATCCGTTGGTCGGATACTATCAGACCAATAGACTACTATGGAAGAGAACAAACCACATTCCAATTAAGGAAGAAATTAGTAAAAGACATTGAAAGCGGATAGTACACACAATAAATAAATCACCAAATTGAATCAACAAACAACACTTTAACATAAGAATCGTAATCGAAAGCAGAAAAGAGGAAGATCAAACAAGACACTACGTAAAGATTTAAAAGTAAACGTAAGAAGAATAAATAGGAACAGGAAATAATTGGAAAAGAATTACCGAGGACAATGTTAGATGGTGAGTGCTAGTGGGTGGTCTATACTCCTTCACATAGGTCAAAACATTAATTGTATATGATTGTTAACCACATCACTTATATTAATCAACTATTATACAATGAACACTGAAGTTCTCTCTGTCTACACAAGATACTCAATATCCGTTGATCGGCTACTATCAGACCAATAGACTACTGTGAAAAAGAACAAACCACATTCCAATTGAGGAAGAAATTAGTAAAAGACATTGAAAGCGGATAGTACACACATTAAATAAATCACCAAATTGAATCAAGAATCAAGCATCTTAACTTAAGAAATGCGATGGAAAGTAGAAAAGAAGAAGATCAAACAAGACATTACACAGGGATTTGGATAAGATTAGATGATGAGTGAACGGTCTATATCACTTCACATAAGTTAAAACATCAATTGTATATCATTATTAACCACATAACTCATACTAATCAACTATCATACAATAAATATTGAAGTTCTATTTGTCTACACAACGTGCTCAACATCCGTTAGTCGGATACTATCAAACCAATAAACTACTGTGGAAGTGATTGAAATAGCTTCTATTTGAAGAACAAATAAGGAAAAGATGTTGGAAATTGATGAAACATATATTATATTAGAACTATAAAACAAACCCCAAAACAGACTAGGTTAGATTATACTGATTAATGGCCTATACTTTTCTATTAAAATAAATAAGCATAAAAAAAACAATCAAGTTCCCTTTTTTTTTTTTCCAAATTTAAATCAATAAAAACTCAAACTATATTCAACTTATAAGCAATGATAAATAGTGGCTAACAATGAAATCCAGTTTGACGCGCATTTCATCCGATTTAGGACTCGTCAGCTGGATATATCTGCATCTCAGTGTTGATGTTCACTTTACAACTCGAACTCAATACCATCGTAAATATCAATTGAAAGATTCAAGTAAAACAATATATCAGTATTGGGGTTGTGGAGATTATTAAGCTTTTGATTAAGATCATGAATCTCCACAACCCCAATACTAATAATTACCATGTTCTCACTAGTGACTAGCTTCGTGAGGGAATTCTCAGAGTTCTAGTGAGAAGCCATAACCAGTGGAGCTAATCCGTGTCGGGTAGAGACAGGTATCTACCTCAGTACAATGAAAGATGGTCACGCAATTTCGTGGATTGGTTGATATTAGACACTAACATCATTGGATGCCGGCCAGTTCAGTGATCCAGTAGGTTAAGCGTTCACGCGCAAGACTGAAGGCCCTAGGTTCGAATCCCGCGAGCGGGATCGTGGATGCGCACTGCCACGGAGGAGTCCCATACTAGGACGAAAACAGCCGTTCAGTGCTTCCAAGTTTCCAACAGTAGTCTAACATCAGTCCATTCATGATCTCAATCAAAAGCTAAAACAATATATATTCAACTTACTTTTGTTGTATTTAATGTTTTATTAATATTTAATTTATTTTTTATATTTTTAATCATATTATTATGTTCATCATTTGTTAACTTTTTATCCATTATTGTATTAGTTCTATCTATACTAATTGGATATAAATCCATACTATTTGGTATAACATTTTGATGATATGATATTAATGGTATAGGGGATATTGTAGTTGAATAAGATTTTGATTCACGTCTTATTAATTTTGTATTATCTAAATATTTTATAGTACGATTTAATTTTTTATTTGTTAATAATAATGTATCATCAATATGTGTATCTTTTGATGTATTCCCCATAAATTCTGGACTAATTGATGATGATAATAATTGTGAATCCATATTATCGATTGAAATAGTTGTTATAGGTGGTGATGATGATGATGATAATGGTGTTGGTGTTGTTGTTGTTGTTGTTATTGTTGTTACTAAGGGCTTATCACTATGTAATAATGAACTAGATTCAATTGATTGTTTTATACTATTATTTCTTGTATTATATGGTGTGATAATAGGATATTTAATTGATTGATAATAATAATAATAATAATCAATATTAGATAATTTATGAAATTGATTTAAATTTTGTTGTTCACTATTTGATAATTGTAATTTATATTTTAATTGTTGACGATAATTTACCGATGATCTTGTAACCATACGTGGTCGTAATGATTGAGGTCTAGAACGTTGAAATTGTTCATCATATTGATTAATTTGTGAATCAATATCAATAATTGAATTTTCTTCACTTGGTAATGAGTTTGTATGTTTGAATAAATTTGATCTATTTCTATGATTAACACTATTATTATTATTATTAGTAGTAGTAGTAGTAGTTGTAGTAGTGGTAGTAGTAGTAGTAGTATTAGCACCACGTTTGTCTAACACCAATTCATGATCACTATTAGATAAATGAATATTTCTTTCCATTCTAGGCTGTCAATATAATCAGACTTATTGATTAAATATTGGTGAAATATGTTTGGTCAATTTTTTTTTCTTCTTTCTATCTCTCTCTTTATATACATATATAAGGACTGTCCGTCTTCTTCTTCTTCTTCTTCTTCTTCCTCTTCTTTTTCTTCTTCTCCTACTTATTACTATTGTGTATCAATAGTTTCTGTGCCTATACATATATGTGATTGCACAATATTGAATGAATTTGGTTACATATAATCCGTGTATTTTTTTTAATACTTTTTATGATTTTTTTTTCTTTTTTCAAACTTTGTCAGACAAATTTCTGTATTTGTGAGAAGTTACATAACTGTTAACATTTTTCTCGTTCCTCCCCCCTAGAAAAATAAAAGAAAAACAGCAATGGCAACAACAACAACCTTGTATATACTTTTATATATATATGAATGTCAAAAGTGTTACTAAGCAAATACTTTGTCTAATATACTAATGTATGTCAAATAATTAATTATATATTATAGCACATTTTCCATACACACCAAAAAAAAATACAAAAAAAAATTAAAAAAAATAGAATAAAAACACCAATCAGAATTCTGCAATATAATTGGCCAATTAAATTCAACCTTGAGAACGAGTTTCAAGGTCATCATATGGGAATATTTCAATAATGAACAGTAACAGAAAGAAAAACAAACAAACAAGTAAACCAACACATTTAAATTGTCCGCTTCTAATTATGAATATATAAGGGTACATTTTAGATAGTTCAATTTAACCTTATTGAATACATTCCTTGTTATTAGTTATAATGTGTAAAGAAAGAAGCGATATGACAGAAGTTAATTTATTTGTTAAAAGTTTTACATTATTTGTTCATGTTGAACAAATTTCTTTGTTTGTTTTTTTTTCTGTTTTTTTTTCTTTGTTTTTCTTAGTTTCCATGTAAAGTTAATGATAAGAATTTATATCTATCAGGACATACATAGTTGATAAGTGAATTGTGAAATAATTTTTAAAAGAAAACGGTACTGGGTTCGAGTCCTCAGATAGATGTTAACACTGAGATACAGGTATATCCAACTGATGAATCCTAAATAGAACAAGATATGTATTTGGGATTTCACTACTAGTCACTATCCATCTTTGCTGATGATACTTGTATGGTGTATGCTACTTATGTAGTGAACGACAACACGGTTGGGGACAATCGAACGTATTTGACAACAAATTACAGTACTGCTTAATAAAATCTAGCAACCATATGTGGTAAATGCTCAATTTGCAAAATGTCCATCAATTGTCTCAAAATGACTCAAGCTTCTTTTTTTTCTTGCATTTTCATACAAATTGCATTTTGTTTTCATTCATTACTGTTTGATCTTCTTGTCTCTCTGCTGCCAGACATTTTGTTCACGACTAACATCATATACTACTTATGTCTACATAAGTAGCACACACCACACTTATATCGACATAATTAGTATACAACGTTAGTCAGGAACAGAATGTCTAGCAGCAGAAAGACAAAAGGATCGAACAGTAAAGAATGGAAATAGAATGCAACTTGTATGAAAATGAAAAGAACAATGAAGGTTGAGTCATTTTGAGACAATTGATGGATATTATGGAAATTAAGCATTTACTAATATGATTGTTAACAAGTCTTGTAATTTTGTGTCAAATACATTCGATTGTCCCTCACCGATGTTCTGCTCACTACACTTGTAGCTTCTTGCAATATCGAGGCAATCTGCACAGGATACACATATACCAATAAAAGACTAGTTAATTGCAGTCCTAAATAACGATGGAAAAATACAATTAAACAACATCAAGTGAATTTAAAACGTCACTCCATTGCACAAGCTGATGGCAATCAGGACTCAATAGCAAAGTGGATAACGTGATGGCGTTTGAAATGAACGATACTACGTTCGAGCCTTGAAGTGACCCTTAACTCTAAGATGCAGGTACATCTAGCTGACAACTATCAAATAGGATGAAGTGGTACACATCCTGGATTCCACTGCTAGCCATTATCCATCTTTGCTTAGATTACTTGTGAACTAAGGTAATATCGAGGCGATCCGCATAGGATGCACATATACCAACAATTGACTAATCAATTAAAGTTCTAAATATTCAAATAGGAAGATACAAGTAAACAAAACCAAATGAATTTCAGTTGAAAATTCCTCATAAGATACTTTCTTAATTACCAGTTATGATAAACATCGATTGTTATTTTACAATATGAACCTGTATTACTGAGCCATGTTTTTTAGGTGTAGACTACCTGGTTGTGGTGCGCGAGACGATAGGAACCGAAGGTTAAAGATCTTAAATGACATGGCTCAAAATCGTTTGCAATAGTGTGCGCAGGTGCATTCACTCTCTGTGTTCTCTGAAACTCTAATCTTCTGAATTCTCCATGTCCTTTATTTTCTTTTCAAATCTATTCCACTGGATTATACTCCTTAAATAACATCATCAAACCTTAATGTTCTCTATCACTACTTATACTTTCACTACCTCTAGCACTATGGGATTTGAATCGATAACCGAATCTCCGTTGTTATGTGGTATGGCAACTCGAACTGATGTACGTACGTACGAAGTTCCACGTTGTTACTGACTAACTGACTGACTTCGCTGAATAATTTTATCATCTCTGTCACTGTTATCATAACAAACCTATTCTCGACGTTGTCAAGGATAATTAATGGATATCGACTAATGGTATTGAGTTATATTGATAATTGAATTTAAATACTAACACCCTTGGATACCAGTTTAGTAGTTTAAAGGTTAAACGTTTAGTAACTTCATCGTAGACCGATACAGATGTAGGTAGACATTCTCAGCCCAAACTATGGCTAGTAAAAATGTAATCAATCTTTACGATTAAATAGAATTACATTGGTTACTACCTAATTAAAAGTTCACTTGCTAACCTATAAATTATGACAATCATTAAATTAATTGTGACTAACTGTTTAAACAAGATACTCAATATCCGTTGACTGGATACTGTCAGTAACAATCTACTATGGAAGAGGATAAATCAACTTCTGATTGAGGAGGAAATTATGAAAGACATTGAAAGTGAATAGGACACGCATTACGAAAATCAACAAACTACATCATGAGAAAAACGCTAACGTAAAAAAGTGAAATTTCAATGAACACATTGCTTCCAGAATTGGAAGAAGACACCAAAAAAATAAATAGCAACTGGAACCAACTTGAAATAATTGTCTAGGATAAAGTTGAATGCAGAATGTTGGTGGGTAACCTATACTCGTCCATGAAAGGTAACAGGTTTAAGCATGTAAGTAACTGACAGAATTGTAGTTAAATCTATGTCATCATTATTATATGGTACTTTACTGACTACATATGGTTTCTTAAGAATGTCTTTTCTTTCCTTTCTTTTTCAACCTCATTGCATAACATTGAAATTCATGTTGACTCAGTTGCAAAACTTTCATAGAAACTTCAAAGGCATGTCATCTTCTACATGTATGAAGTATATGTAAAGCAGTCAAAATGATGTAAGATATTCCTGTGTACTGGTTAGCGTTCTTCTAGCAAAGTTATTTTCTATGAGATAAGGTTTCTGACCCCATACCCAACCTTCCTATTTTACCCACTCTTGGAACCAGCAGTAACCCTAGAAGAGCTATAGGCGATACCATCAGCAACAGTTTACTGTGAAAGAGAGAACATACCAACTTCGATCTGACGAAGAAATTAGAAAAAGCTGTTGGAAGTAAATAGGACATACATGACAGAAATCAGTTAACTGAATCACGAGAAAAGCTCATTAACTTACAATCGTAATAGAAAACAGTAACGTGGAAGACCAAATAATATGCTACGTTAGGAATTGAAAGCAAACGCAACAAAAGAATGAATAATAACTGGAACCAACTTGAAATAATTGTCCAGGACAATCTTGGATGGAAAATGTTGGTGGGTAACCTATACTCGTCCATGAAAGGTAACAGGCATATGTCAATAAACTATACATTTATATTTACTAAACAACTAAATCAATAATCTGAACAAACCAATCAATATTTAGTATCCATACACTTTGAATATAAAACACAGTCAAATTAATTATTAATAGGCTAAGTATTTAATTTTAATGACTTTTCAATAAATCAATAAACAATTACAAAGATATTATCAGTCTAGATAATATTGATTTAAATTGATTCATAAGTAAGGTTAAGTAAAGATAAATAGTGACTAGTAGTGAGATCTAGAAAGTAAGTTTTGTCGTATTTGGGACTCGTCAGCTGAATGTACCTACATCTTACTTACTTACTTACTTACTTACTTACTTACTTACTTACTTACTTATGCCTGTTACACATCAGAGAGGAGCATAGTTCATCTACCAGCATTCTCTAATCAACTTTGTACTGAAAAATCCTTCCCAATTATTATTCATTCTTTTCATGTCTGATTCCAATTCCCGACATAATGTGTT